GTGTGTTCACTTGGCTGTGTGTTTAGGGCAAAGAGGCACCACAGCAACTCTTGTGGGGATGGAGAATAGAGGTACAGAGTCCTGCACCCCTCCTCATGAGACCAGATGGGCACTGAATCCTGGATCCCAGTGTTAATAAACACTCAAACCGTCTAAGTTTCCCTTAATGTGTTTACACTATATAAGCACAATCATTACATTAAAGTTTGAACTTTTTGCTCACCAAAATATTAATTTTAGATAATATATTATCTGAATAGCATATTTTTGCAACAACAAACCATGGCATTAAAAGTTCATAGAACCTACAAGTTATTCCAGTATTATTTAATGCTTTCTGAAGATAATTAATAAGCATTCTACATTACTACATACTACATTATTTCACAAGCAATTCTACATTTAAGTGTTTAATAAATCAGTGTCAGTGTCAGTGTTTTTTTTAATTATTACTGATAAAAAAGGGGAAGGGTAAAAGCACTTTTAAGCCTGCAGCTAAGGATGTGCAAATGACATTTCCTTAAAGTGCAAATTTTCTCATCGTTTTCATATATAGGTTTTTTTGTTGTCATTGTTGTTATAAAATTCTGCATATTGAACACTTAATGGTAGACTAGCACTAAGTTATTTTTGCACTGTGTTAAGAGACTCAGAGATCCTGCCGTTTTGAGATAATCAACCTCGCATTTGTAAATGTTAAAAACACTTTGACTCATATTAGCTGGCACGTTATAGCTTAGAAGCGAAGCACAAGACTTTGTGACAAGATTGGATCACGAGTGTTTCCCAGCGGTCTCACTTTCTCACTTATCTCCACAGAGACTGTGATACGACTTGTCATTCACTGTGTCACTACTAATTTAATGCACCGGGACTAATATTAGTCTCACAATATATTGGCGAACATCCCATTATTGACAAATTGAATTATTGTACTGTATATAGAAGAGGCTTCCATTCTAGTCATTGCCAAGCTCATGCCAAGCATTAGAAAGGTGTTTGTTGTACATATTTTGCCACTTTATCTTTATTTTGACAGACTGTTGCCACCTCTGCCGCAAAGATAATTAATTTGTACCACTAACATTGCAAATAAAAGTTATTAAAATATAACCTGTTATTAAAATAATGACTAAATAATAGCATTTGCACATGGACTGCAGCTTCTATTTAGGTTATTAGCAATGTGGCTGGTTGATTGGTTGTAAACCTTAGCAACAGGCTGGCAGGCAGAGTGCTTGATATTCTTTATTGAACCAATATGAATATTTGTTGCTCAATGACAAGAATGGCCCTTACATTAATTTCATTGGTAATTGTGATGTCTTACTCAAGGCAACCCAGACACACACACTCACATCTAGGGCCAATTATCCAACCAGTATGTTTTTGGACTGTGGAAGGAAAGCAGAGCACCAAGAGGATACCCACACAAACATGGGGAGAACATAGAATCTCCATGGAGATAGCACCCAGTTCAGGAATAGAACCAAAGCCCCCCACAGCAATGCTAACCATTACTGCCTCTATAATGAATATATTCTATATAACTTCAGACGGAAGGAGAGGAGAGCTGCCCCTCCTGAAGGCACAGCTGCTGTATCCTTGCTCAATTTACTTTCCAGCACTTGCCCCAATGTACTGTACACAGGTGTATGAACCAACTCTAGGGTGTAGTGAGGGATTTACAGTTCACTTAACACCACAGAAACTGAGATAAGATTTAGTCTGTAGAGTCACTATGTGCAATTAGGGATGTTACCCACTTTTGCTAATGAGCCATTTTTAGTTGAGAGTGATATGAAATTGATTTTAACCACCCTCCATCCTGAAGCATCCAATAATCCAAGAAAGTTTGAATGTGCCACATGACAAATAATCATTCCTTGATGTCCTCGCTGCTTATTGCAATTCAAGCAGAGGTATATATATATAAGACTATAGCAGATTTAAACACTTCAAGGTAGAATACCCTTTGAATTGTTGTTCATGGACAATATAGAGTACTGTATACAATTTTTTTTCATCTATGTTGACAAAAAAATAGTTCTTAGTTGATTTTGTAATTAAACTTAAATGGATAATCTTATCTCTATCTAAGCAGGAAAAAGTTAATGTTATAGTCTCATCAAACAATGTTATTGTATCAATAAGGAGAAGCCCATAACAAAAAGCCAAAACAAAAATGAAAGAATGCTGCTATGTTATCTGTTAGCATGACATTTGAGTCAGGATGCCAGTCTTATAGCATTCTATGTAAACCTAGCTGCACCCCTATTGAGAAAGCAAAGGAAATTCTAATTTGAAAAGTACTTCAAAACTATTGTGTATGAAATCAAGCAATGACTGCAGGAGTTAAGTGAAAAAAGCTTATTTTTATTCCTTTTTTTCTGCTTGCTGATGTGGCATTTCATCTTAAGACAGGAGATTTCCCTTAACAGCATTTCAACCTTATGTAGTGTACAGTACTCTTAACTCACATCATGCACTGTCAAGTCAGAATCATAAAATGACATTTTCAAACACTGTAATCATTTCTGTCATCAGCACTATCATCACATCCTACTCCAAATGGTCTTATCTGTTTCACATACCGTCGTGATCACTGCCTATTTCTGACTTGTGCTTTGGTTTGTAGTTGAGTTTCATAGAAAAATATAAATACAGATACAGTATGTAAATATCGATAATTCAGAGTAAATTTTGATATACTCATGAGTGCCTTCTGCATATTGTAGCTAATTGTTTTAGGTTCACCCATCCAGTGCAACATCCTCTTTTATACATACAGAAAAAATAGGAACACAAAATAATAGTCAAAGCTTAAAAATATTACATTGGCAAACAAAAAAGGGCACTTTGGATAAAGTTAGAATCCAAGTTTTTTTTTAATCAAATAAACACCAGCTAACACTTATTTTGACTGGACAGAAAGTAATCAAAAACAAATCCACCTGTGTGATTTATATGAGCAATATTAAACAGTGTGTGTGAAAATCTTAAAGGTTTAGTGTGTATAACCATCAATTTGTAGGAAACTGTATGGAACCTATTAAAAACTCATAAATAATAAATAATAATAACGAACATTATTTTTAGTAATTAAAAATGTCCATTTATTTTGGGATTTTGAATATGAACATATATAAAACCGTTATTATTATTATAAGAATGTCAATAAGAATAATAATTAAACACTGAATGAAAGCAGTATGTTTTAACACTTTGGGTAATGTACAGTAAGGTGCACATCTCACTTGATTACAGTGATTGTGCTAAGCATTCACGTCTGAAAGAGGCATGCAGGGGTGTGAGGATTTTTTTTTCTTTTGCTAAATTAAAAAGGTGCGCCTAAAAGTGATAATTAATAATAAAAAAGAGCCTACCGGAGTTAACTTTACGTGTGGATATTTCAAATAATAAACATAATTTGTTAGCATTTAAAATTAAATTACTCATCACGTTCAAACTGCACTGAAAAATACTTCAGAAACCGCAGCATTTATGTGTATACCTGTCTACATTTTATTTGCTCATTTTTACTGATACATTTTACTATTCAAATAAGGAAGAAAAGGAAGAGATCTACTCCCTCAGACAGGAGTTATGTTTTGAGTAATATTCAACCGTTTGCGACAGTAATTATTTCTTAAAGTGCGAATTCGTGAATTCTTGAAGCTCGGTGTTTTCCCTTCTCTTAGTTACGGACGCCGGTTTTCTAAACACAATTACTGTACCATTCTGAGAACCCTACAAGCTTTCTTGTCATCTGCGTTTAGTTTACCAATTAAGTTCCACCGTTAGTCACGTTATTCATACAATTCTAACAATGTAAAAAAATGTTACCAACCAGACTGCTTTTTATTATTTTTTATTCCGATAACCAGATTGGAACTCGCTGTTTTATTGTTACATTCAGCGTTTCTCAAAATCAATCAATAAGACCGTCCTCACAGACTAATAGCCCTTCCAGTATATGTGGCAGTTTAATAACAGTTTTAAGGTGCTGTCTAAAACAAATCTAAGTAAACAAACGAATGTGCCATTCACGTTCAACACCGTCATCTGCGTGTTCGCAAGTTTGTCATCTTTCTATCCCCTCTTTTGAAGAGCGAGAAGAGCATGTCTCTGTACAAGTCGATACTAGAGTTAATTACTGAACGTGTTAATGCCTAGCTCTGTTTTGAGGTTTATAGCAATAGGATCAATGTTTATTGTGTGGGTGAGCCGGGTAATTACGCCTGATTAAACTCAAATTAGAGTTACATAATTAACATATGAGTGGAATTAGTGGAACACGTTTAAATCCGTATCGTTCCAGTTTGCAGGTGTATAGCTCACGTTTTCCTCAAAAGTCTTTATTTAGCCCACTCCATTTCACTAAAACTAACATATCAAGCAAGAAACACTAATATCTCCTGACCTTATCTGTCGTCTATAATAAGACAAAACAAGATTGTTTCTTGTTAGTGAGATTTGCTTTTCACTGTCGTGTTTCTGCTTACTTTGTTCTCTGATGGATTAACAAATCCACTTCTGTAAACAAACCCGCCCATAATTAGTAACATGCGGGGTAAGGATCGGGAAAGAAAGTAACTTCGATTAATTTTCTTTTAACCACTCTTATTGCACAACCCTTTTAGTTAATCCCCTGTATGTGATGAATTTGGACTGTGTACAAATAGGTTTGAACTGCAGATACAAAAGAACAATTTACAATATTCTCTTTGTTCAACGATAAGCGTACAAACCTGTTTCACATCTTTAACGCACCTCGAACTCATGTTTATTCACTTCTGAGAAATCTTTAATTGCATGCATTCCAGAGGAAACATTTGTACCTCTCACGCAATACAGCATCGGTTTAGAAGAGATCTTTTAAGACATACTTGTATAAAGCGTCTTAGAATCACTAGCGCGCCAAAGTTTCCATCATTTTTGCAGAAGTGTACCGAGCATAATTAAATAGGTCTTTTAGAAGATTTTGAAGTAATAATTTGTTGTGATTCTCAGGTGAAATCGTCTGCAAACAAATGAATTCAAACTGCCCTTAAAGAACAAAGAAGAGGGGGCAACTGGTCATTGTAGCAAACGCACAAAACTCTGGATTCCAGCAAACTTTTCTGTCGCGTTAAAAGGGGCTCTTTTCATTGCTTGGTTTACCTCTGGTCAGGCTAAGTCTTTTCTTTCCCTTTTTAATCCGTCTCTTTATTTAAGAAAAACACAAAACCAGGTTCCACGCAGTGCTTTAGTGGCTAAAAGTGAAAGAGCTGCTTTTTTCAGAGCTCAGCTCCATGAATCGCTCTGGAAAATTGGTTCTCCTGAATAGGTGGAGGAGGAAAAACGTTTAATAGGATCCGAGGGAGGCTCTGCTCTTGCAATCTGCTCCTTAAACAGGTGGAAATTGGACCTTCTCAATTATACAAATAGTAAGTATAAACCAGGATGGAAAAGCTATTTTCATCCCCAGGGATTAGGGGCTCGCAATGAAAATTGGAACCAGTCAAACTAAGGAGGATCCAAAATCCTTATTGTTACCAAGGTTTAAAAATCTCTGAATACTGCATGACGTTTTATTTCATAAATGAAACTTAGATGTCTCTCAGCCATTCAGAAATATCCCGATTTAGGTAAAAAACATTTTATTTAGCTTTCAAGGAATATTATTTTTATATACTTCATTAACGTAATCGATCTGCTGGTTTAAACTTGAAACTGTCAAATTATGTCCTTTATAAGATGAATTACCTCTCATATTAAGAAATTATTTTCTTATTCTAATTAAAAATCTATTTTGTCCTTGAATACATTGACAAAAGGATATTCGAGCACAAAAAAACAACATTATTATCATTATTATCACCACAATCTAAGCCTGCAGTTAAGTACAGTTTAATACAGTATTAAAGAAAAAGCAGCGCCTTTCATCTAATTTATGTTCAGGTAAGAGCTTTGGATCAATAGAGTAAAAGTTAAAAATATTAGAAATGTTCAAATTTCAGTTCTCGATATTAAAATTATAAATATCGCGATCCGGTTTAGGGAAAATCGTTGGGGAACACAGAGCTGATGAAAAGGAAAGAGACTTGTAGGGCATATTATAAATAATAATCTGTAATAAGTGATGTACACCACCCCCGTGGGTATGTATAAATGGGTGGTGGGAGTTGAAATAAGGCTGGTGGTGGCGTTTCCTTGTCACCCTGATAGAAGTGACTACGTATGATGTCAGCTAAATGCAGGAGACAGTGATCTCTCGCTGACGAGGATGTGTGGTATCAAAATGTGACAGTATAGCCACGCAGCAATACTTGAATCCATCTGTCTTCGCTTTAGAAAAGGTAAACTACTAAACATCGATTCTTCTACAAGTTTTGAGATCAGATTTTCGATTCAAAAGTAGCGAATACCAATGAACTTGAGTGTTTTTTTTCTACCAAGCTCTATAATGTCTTGTTAATTTTTGTGTGTACTAGTTAATGAGCATTAATCTGGTACCCCTCGGTGCCATTGTTCGGGGGATGTCCATTTGAATGTGAATGGGTGACACTGTAAGAACCAAGGTGCTTATTAAACTGATGTGTGTCCTGGCTTTTCTGGAATGCAGGAGGGGAGGACAGAGCGGGTAGTCGGCGGCTGCTCACACCAAGTTCTTCAAGAATGGCGAGTTCTCTTCCTTTAGAAACAGTGATGTCCTGCCCGAGACACGAGACCAGGAATGGAGCCTCCGTTGCCCCAAAGGCGCTGGCCTTCTCTATTGAAAGAATTATGTCAAAGACTTCGGAACCAAAAAGCTCCTTAGACGAACAGCATGGAGCTGATCTCTCAGAAGGCAGAAAGATGGTCAGTTTGTGCTCACCTATACCTTGCATGATCCCTATTCAGCCTTTAAGCTACGACCTGCAAGCCAAGGCGTTAATGAACTATTCCGAATTTTGGAAAGCTAACTTCAGAGGGACAATCTGCAGTTCGGCCGCCATGTGCAAATCTAACTGTGGTATGTGCTGCAAAACAGACTCGGGTTTTATGCATTCCTTATTGCCGAGCGCCAGGGTGATCAAGCCTCAAGTAATTCATCAAACACTGGCAATGCCAGCCAACGGGTCTCTCTATTATTTTAACTATTTGGATTCTTCGTATCACCCGTCGGATCTCCTAAGCGGACATTTTTTCTCTTCCAGCATAGTAAATTCGCCGTCACAAACTTCGCTCACCGCGCATCAGAAATTAATTCTGCTGGAAAACGCCAAACTTGCGAGCTCGGCGGCGGAGAAGTTTCCCACACCGCAATACCCACACAAAGAACACCTCCCTGGACAACTGGACCAAATAGTGAAGGAAAATCACGGCTTGACTTCGGAAAAAAACGGAGTAAAAGCGCACAGTAAACTCAGCAACAATTCCTCAGATGGGAAACCTAAAAATTTCACTTGCGAAGTCTGCGGCAAGGTAAATAAAAAAAAAACATTTATCCGTTAAAGACAATCACTGCACTAGTTAAAAACTTGAACGCACATTAGCAACTAACATTAAGGTTTAGTGGGGAAATTGAAAAGCAAATCTAATAAAACTGCATAAAACATTAAAAAAGATTTAGCTAAATTCGTTTGAAATTAAATCATACCGTAAGCGTTATTATTTAACTAATATGATAAGCTTAAATGAAAAGAAACAAAGTTAACATATTCAAAATGCCAATCCTCTTTTGCAGGTGTTCAATGCGCATTATAATTTAACCCGTCACATGCCGGTGCACACGGGAGCCAGGCCCTTCGTGTGTAAAGTCTGTGGGAAGGGTTTTCGTCAAGCCAGCACGTTGTGTCGACACAAAATCATACACACACAGGTAAGGGCCGTCTTTTCAGAACGTATGTAAAACAACTTTTATTACAACAGTGACTTGATTAAAAACCACTGTGTCTGTTGTTGTTACTAGGAAAAACCTCACAAATGTAATCAGTGTGGAAAAGCCTTTAACCGAAGTTCTACGTTAAATACCCACATACGGATACATGCTGGGTATAAACCTTTCGTTTGCGAGTTTTGTGGGAAAGGTTTTCATCAGAAAGGTAAGGGCTGTACTCACAATCATAAAATACTTTGCATATTTTAAAATTTGAAATATTAAATTTAATATTGCATTTATAATTAACATGTTAGATCTCTAAATACATTGATAATCTTTCTTTCTTCTGCCATAAAATTGATAATTATTGATAATTATAAATATCTCTCACATTCATTTATTGTACGTCATTATACGTTATATCCACATTTTATGTTTACTGGCTTATCAAAGAAGATATCAATCACATTACTAGAGAAAATGCTTTGATTATCAATGTTTCTTTCATTAAAAAGAAATCTAGAATACCCACTATAATAAATCCACTATAATTTTTAACAAAAGTACAAAGAATTCAATCCATATCCTGACAGCCAACATCAGCTCCTTCGAAATAGGATATGTCATTTTACACTAACTAACTTTTCCTACAAGATTCTAAATTCGCTATGGGTCACAAAACAGACCTCTTCCTAATTTATAACCTGACAAGTTCAGGCTGTTGTATTTGATTTTGACAAAGTTTGACAACTTCTTGACTCCCACATGCAAAATGTTGGTTAATGAAGGCTCAGGGATGAAACCCCTTTGTCTAAAGTGACTTAATTGTGAAACGTTGGCCTGGGGAATTCCTGTTTCACTGCCTTAACTGAAGTTATATTTTACTCTTACAGTGTTTTATTTTTTTTCCAGGAAACTACAAGAACCACAAACTAACTCACAGTGGAGAAAAACAATACAAGTGTACAATTTGCAACAAAGCCTTTCACCAGATTTACAATCTGACTTTCCACATGCACACTCACAACGATAAGAAACCGTTCACTTGTGCAACTTGCGGGAAAGGCTTCTGTAGGAACTTTGATTTGAAGAAACATATGAGAAAACTTCACGACAACAACGGCACTTCTATAGCTGCATCGAACGAACACTCAAGAGGGGTTCAAGGCTGAACGTATCTCTTCTCCTCTGAGGCGGACTGTCCCAGTAGCAGTATTTGTTGTACATATAAGTTTATTGGGTAAATATTATGAGGAAATACTTGAAATGCCACATTATCTTTAACACTTTGCATTTATGGCACAATATTGTAGACGGTTTGACAATGTAAAAACCGAAAGTTATTTAAACTGATTTACCACGAAAACATTTATATGTTTTGTAATGTAGTACTTGTTCTCAACAAGTATTGTAAAGTGACCTGTTAAGTATTTGTAGGCTTTCTTTTTATATAAATTAAAGTTACATGTACAATTTGATGTGTTTGAAAATCGGCAATGTTGCCATTTATAAATGCATTTCAGAAAATATTACACAAAATATCTTAAACCCTTAATAAAATACTAAGTTTATTTACAGCTTCACAGAGCATTTGTTGTAAAATGTTTTTTTTTAATTATTATCCGTTAATACTAACATTAAAGACATTCATACTACATGGTCGATCCAAAGTAAAGTCGTTTTCATAACTATTTTTAAATTTTCTTTTATCAGTCTTTATCATATAATAATTATAAGTCTTTAGGTTACATTAGAAAAACGAACTTGCTTGTTGCGTTTTCCGCGTCTTCTTTTTACTGTCACGTTTTTTCAGATTCCTATGATTGTTATTAGAGCAAGTGTTTAAACAACTACTCCTCAAAAAACAGAACAAACGTTAAACAAGAATTCGATGATCTACACTAAATGAAATAATTCTTTCTATAAATGCATTTTTTAGGTTTATTTTTATTAATGAGAACAAAATGTCTATGTGTCTCGGTGAATTGAATTGTTGGGTCCGCAATGATCTTCCAGGCAGTTCATAAACATTCTGGGGTATACTTACAGTAGATCTCAGTAACCTTAATTTAAACATAAAACAACATTAAAATCTATAATAATAATTCAGGAATATTTCCATCTAAAAATATTTTTGTTTTACGTCTGTTGTATTCCGAATCTGATCTGATTTGAATAAATTCGGTAGCCTTCACCTGACTAAGGGAATAACAGTTAAAATTATCAGAAAAAAATAAACATTTTTCTTTGCATCACGGCGTTCCCCCAGTCACCTTGTGAAAAGTGCAACAATATACTCTATTGTACCCTTTAACTGCATTTTCTGTGTTTAAAATACAGTACAGCGAATTAAATAATCTACAATCATGTACCTATTTTTAGGTTCTGTGCTTTACGTTGTCTTCGAGATCGCAGTAAATGGTAGTTTAAGTTGTAGATCTCACGAATAAGGCAAGGTTATTGTATTTCCTAATCACACGCTCAATTAATCAAAACTAAAATACTCAAAATACCAGATGTAGAATAGTGTTTTAACTTTATGTCTGTAATTAGTATTCTAAACGCCAAACGATCGTAATTGTGTAATTACATTTTTGGTTATATGCACCGATTGAAAACTGTCACTCATATTTTATTGAACGCAGAATATGAACACTGTACGGCCATTAATCATTCTATCAATAGAATTCCCATTGAATCATTAGAGTAAACCATACATCTAATATTACATTGACTTCTAGTGTATTAAGGTATATTTAAACAATTTTGTGAAATACCAGATTCTGGTGATGCGATTTTACACTTGACTCCAGAATAATGACACAAATTACCAGATAAAACATGGACTCTTCAAAGCCCATTACATTAATCAGCTAAACACTCTCAGGAGGACGCTTTCCCATATCAGCCTGTTTTGATCGGAATATAGATAATCAAGTACTTGGGCTACATCAACTATACCCTGCACTGCTTCACCAACTTTAATATGGAATAATTTATTCTCCACACGTCTCCTGGAACAATATTATTCTAGTGCACTAACAGAAATTCTGATCAGAGAGAAATGCGTGCTGCTCAATCCTAGTTTTCCAATTACAATGCAATTAACACTCACAAGTCTTGCCCAGGGAATGATTAAAAGGCTAATAATATAAGTTGAATGGTCTGCTCACCTTTTTCCAGTTAAAGGATAAATACTGTGGGAGAAAAAAACGACCTGAACCAGAAGGTTCAGGACAATTTTACTAATGAGTCTGTACCCCGAATCCCCCCCCCCCCCCAAAAAAAAAAAAAATATCTGAAAACATAAATATTGGTGCTGTTAAAAGACAGCACAACTACCTCACATATAAATGTTCAAAATAATACAAAAATTGAAGTAAATATTTAAGAACTGTATCTGATTGAAGGCAAAGTGGCAAACACATTTGAAATGTGCCGATGAATACTACTGTTTAGTAATTTACACAGTAAAATAATTTGAAACCGAAGGCAAAAATGGGAAAATCAAATATATATATATTTAAAAATTTAATTTGACTACACTGAATACAGAAGCATTTAAAGACTTTAAATCTGTTTTCTTTTAATCCGACTTCGAATTGTCGATAGAGTAAATATTACCAAGCTTGACTTTATTGGAAGTATTCACTTTATTTTTCCTTAGTTTATTACAATTGCACGTTACAAACCACGAAAAGCTGAACTAAGTTGCAGACTGGGCGGGGCAGAGGGGAGAGTTTGAGAATTAGCATGTATTTTAGCCTGTGATTCACGCTTTGATCGAGCTTATTATATCGGTGTCCCGTTCCCATAACCGCTATAAGCACTGTATTATGGAATTCCACACCCTCGGGTACGAAAGTAATTAGTTAATTAATTCTCCGGACATTTCAGTTACATGTCAAGAAGAAGAGTGTAGTTTTGCTCATCGTATAATGCCTTTAAACCGACTTTTAAAGATACAAATATAAAAGAGCCATTTCTATATATACTGTATAGATGAGCCCCAGAGAAGGTTACTAAAACTGCGAAACTAAATAAACGTATTAGTAGAAGCCATTAACATTATTTTCTTCAACAAATGGCCACATATTGATTGGGAAAACACTGACAAATATTATGAGGAATTTAAGAATACCCTACTGTCTTACATCTAATTTTATTATTGGTACAAAATACCCATTCCTGGCGATATCTCTGAAGACACTAATGCTTATTTGTGATGCTTTTCAGCTACAGCGTACTCTGTGAACATAGGTATAATCGTGTTCAGTAGTCAACTAAACGCTCCGATTTTTTAACTTAGTAAGGGTACACGTTTAAACACATCTTCAATTAACCATTATTATCATATAGTTCATGTGCCCTATATGTATAGTTGTTTTTTTAATATGACAAAAGCAACACCAATATCGGTCCATTAAACTACCCATTTCGGCGTTACCAAATGGCCAAAGTTTAGTATTTTATTTTATTGCGTATACGTGCGTGTTTATGTTTCAGAAACCTGTAATATGGCTTTAAAGTCTCGTCCTGGAATAGCAAATGTTTCTTAAAATATCCCTATTTTTTCGTTAATCTTTTACAATCTCAAACAGAAAAATATTTAAATATTAAATTTTATTAAAGCATTTAAAGACAATATAAAGCCAAAACCATTTTGTTTTTTCAAGAAAGATTACGTTTACTTCAAAAGGTCATAGCCATACGCACGCCAAAGCAAGGACATCAGATATGATAGGCTACTTGTACGATTTCTACGCCTCATTAAACAATTACTACGCGATTACAATAAAGTTATCCGATAGTCACAAGACCTAGGATGTCACAGTCGTGATGTTCAGTGTGTTGCATTGTATGTAGTAGTACAGTATATACATGTTTTAACTTAAATTAAGCCGCCTTTTCATTTCCCAATAAACGATTAACATTTTTAAATATTTTTAATATTGTTGCTTAACATTATTTTTGTGTACAAATATCATCACCCGATATTTATGTAGGGTTTAAAAACATGCTTTCATGTTTGCTTTTGTTTTAATTAGTTTTAATTTAGTTTCTAGGAGAGGTACAAGTATATAGGAGTTCACAAGGGTGAACTGGTTTCGAGACCAGAGAAAGCGCTGTAGTACGCAGAGGTGCTAGTCTTGTCCAACACTGAATACGAACGCTGGGAAGTAAACAACCTAAAGGCAGCCGCGTTGCCCTTTTCTCTGCACTTACCTCTTAAACATCTGAGCAACCAGCTTTGCTCCTAGAAACATGTTAATTGACAACGGAGCTCATTATGGCTTGCACATGTAAAACGCAGCGAGAAAGATTTCATGGACAAAAGCGCAGTAATGAACTGTCAACAATCGAGTATATCTACACGACCAGGATCACTCAAGAACAGGGCATTTAAAGGCAACAAAGGATTGTCTGAGACAGGAAGAAAGGAAGACCTAGACTTTTGTTTAGTCAACTCAATTGATTATAAATGAAAGATTAACAAGGGTAGCTTCAGATTTTTTTAAGGGGTGAAGAAAAAAAGCCCAATTAAGTCCACCAAATGTTAACTACATCGCTTTTCCCCTGTTTAGTCCAAATGAAATTCTAATTAAACCGTCCCTCACGATCATTTTGGAAAGCAATTTATCTCCCTGCTGGAGTAGAAAAAGCGAGTTGTATTACTTGTTAGAAGAAGCGTTAGTTCTTGGCACAAAGAACTCACAAGGCGCATTGTAAAATGCCGAGGGGAAGTTAATGAGCATCAGGCGAACTCCTTGGATCTATTCCTGGAGAATAGTGTTGAAAAGATGGAATCAGCCAACATACTGTATAGTGTTCTGTACACTGTCCTTTATATCCAACATTAAAAGGGCAATCTACAATAATATTGTTCCAGTCTTTTGGAATATGCAGTGAATATCTGGTGGAGCATACACAACATAGGGAAATAAAAAGCTGCTTCTTTTTTAATTAATTACAATCTAAACAGTTATTTTTGTATTCTGTCAGACCACGGGTTATTCTGCTGAATATGGATTTAAGATGGTGAAATGTAAATCATGAAAGTATCAAATCTCAGATGATAATGCTGGCAATTATGATACGGTTGTAAAGGATATTGCTTTCTTTTATCTGTTTCTTGGATGACTGCTTCTAAAATGCTGCTCAGTGACATATTGACAGAAAAAAATTATCTAAAAAACATTCTAGACAGTGCATACTGTATAAAGTGACCAACTGTATTCAGTCCTACTGCAGGATGAATGTCTGCTAAATAACAGGGGTGGCTATGACAATGTTTTTGGTCAGTGTGAATTGTATCTCATACCAATCAATCTATAACAAAAATGTCTGTATGCCAGTGACACTGAATTGCTAAAAGTCTTACTTTTCTGGTAGATGTAACAGTTTGCCTTTTATTTGGTTTATCTGATATAACATACCATTTTCTCTTTGATTAAAACGTTAAAGGTAATGCTTAAATGTCTGACTGAAAGCTACTTTATACAATAATGTTCAGCAAAGCTTGAGGAGTGCAGCCTGTTTTTTTTAGTTATATACAAAGAGAAAAAAACTGTCTAATTGCATATAACATATTGTTAGATTGTTAGTGTTCCCCAAATGTAAAAAAAAAGTTTAGTATTTTAAAGGTTTTATGGTA